AAGTTGAAAATTACAAACACAAAAAGGGACAAAAATGATCTTTGATTCCCTGCCAGTGACTTCTGTTTATCATTATACATTGATACAGATTACTAGAAATTTGTCATAAACAACATTAATGGGTATATCGTAATATACTTGGACATTTTCTGCAATTGGAAATTAAATTATAGAGGATAGCTTTGGGCTTAAAACATTTTTGTATTACATATTACTCTCTAGGTATAGATTCGCAACTGGATCAAGAGTTATAAAGACTCCATGTTAAAGTATAAGTGTGTATGCGTGTTTATATAACATTTGTGTATTTCCAAGTCACAATCTGAAAAGGTTATACCATTTTATAATCACACCACCAGTATATGAGTGCCTCTTCTACCATAACCACTGGAATTTTTTTCCCCCCTCTTTACCAATTTAACAGACAAAAATATCTGATTTTATTTTGTATTTCTTCATCAAAAAGATTCAGATACTTGTCTTCTGCTTGGTGATTTTTAAATTCCCACCGTCCAGATTGAAAGTGCTAACAGCCGCCCCTCTAACTCATTAGTAATTCAGTAGTTTCTAAACTAAAATCTCTGATAGTACCACTCCTTTCGACAAAATTAGAAATCAGCCTGCATTTTCATACGACAGTTTAAGACATTTACTTGGCTTCATCCATTTAGGGCAGCTCAGAATGTGAATCCTGAAACTTAAATGGTCTTCATGATCATTTAGTATTGTCCTCCACTATCCAGAAACACGTTAATGCTTTTAAAACAATTTACTTAATGCCCTGATTATGTAAATGTGTGTATAAAAAAACCAAACCTGTTGCTGTTGTGTCAGTTCTGACTCCTAGTGACCCTATAGGACAGAGTAGAACTGCCCCGTAGGGTTTCCGAGGAGCAGCTGGTGGATTCGCACTGCCGACCTTTTAGTTAGCAGCCATAGCTCTTAACCACTGCGCCACCAGGGCCCCAAATGTGTGTACAGTATATGTTATTAACAAAGGAATTATACAGGGTGAATTACAACCCAAGATGGAACACTTTGTAGTCATTTCATTCCAGTTTGTATTGTTACTTTTGTTATACCGAACACACTACAAAATTGCATCTCTTGAATAGGTACATCACCATTTATTCAGTATTATACACATGGAACCGAGGATTGATAGGATGCAGTTCTACATGATTGCACCAGAAGCAAAACATGATGAGAATAAATTGAAACACTGGACTTAAGAAAAATCTAAGTTTCACATCTGATTTATTCACTGGACTTAAGAAAAATCTAAGTTTCACATCTGATTTATTTAAGAAAATTTATTTTCTTAATAAGCGTAGCAGAGTTTTTATAAAGTATGGCAACACATAGAAAATGGAAGTTCAGTTATAATGTCAAGATATGTTCTTTTTCTGACATTTTGATGGAGTTGATACTTTTTCTTGTAAGGTTTCTTAGTCTTCCTATAGTGAAGGAAAAAATGAAGTGTCATTGCTGAAGGGACAAACTAATAACCTTTTGGTAAAGTTAATTGCAGGTAAAATCCTTTTTTAATTAAGCTAACAATGTGGTAAAATTGCTGCATTAAATTTTAATTATGTTCTAATGGAAGTCTTTCTATAGAGTGCCAAAGGATGATAGTTTATTTGAGGATTAACTCCAGAGCCTTACTGAACACCATGTTTATAAGGAATAACAGTTTCTCCCTGGGAGAATTGTGAATTGAGTTTTGTTTTATTTCAAATTGATAAAGTGATGGCATCTGCTAGAATGGATGCTTGTGTGCTGCCTGTATTTAAGCTGTCTGAACAAAAAAAAAAAAACCAAACCCGCGGCCATCAAGTCAATTCTGACTCATAGTGACCCTATAGGACAGAGTAGAACTGCCGCACAGTGTTCCCACGGCTGTAACATCTTTCTCCAGCAGAGTGGCTAGTGGGTTTGAACCGCCAAACCTTTTGGTTAGCAGCCAAGTGCTTAACTACTGCGCCACCAGGGCTCCTGTTTAAGCTGTCTGCTGGGGCTGGTAAGACCTACACTGTACTGTCCCTCGTCCCCACCTGCCTTCATCATGCCCTACCCTCGTTGAGACAAATCCCAACATAGAAATAGATTTCCGGGGAAAATAATAGATCTAGAACTGCTAAATGGACAGTGCTTTAAGAACCCACATAAGTATTTTTCTTTAATAGAAATGACTGAAATTATCACTGAAAAAAGTATCAGGAGGCAGGTATTATTTCAGTAATCAAAACCTCACATTAAAATAGTTTTGAATAGATTTAAGTTCTAGTCCAAAGTCAAAGAGCAATCTATTAGGTTTTCAGTATATTTTTGTATTACAGCTTTCCAAAATGATAATGTCAATAATGAAATATTTGATGAACTGAAGAAACAGAAGGCAGCCCTCAGCATTATAAGATTTCAGTGCTGTTTATTTGCATATTTACCAAAACATGTTTAAGAGTTTGAGAACATACTTTAAAACTGCCTTTATCTATAAAACCGGCTTAGTTACATACCGTTTATTGGACAGGAACAAGCTGAAAGCTGGATACCTAATGTCAGTGGAGTCTTCTGATGGTTTCCTGGATGAAGTTGGGTTCCAGGCTCTAGTTGCTGGTTTGTATGTGCCGCCAAGCACAGTCCTTCAGCAGATTGACTCAGTGGCTGCCGCTGATGTCAAAAATGTAAGCAGATGAAAACTTCCATCATGTGTGGGGTTGTGACTTCTAGACTTGATAAATTCTATGATTTGATATCAAATAACCTGAATAGTCCAGTTTCCAAAGGAATACCTAAGCCTCCTTGGGCTGTACATGTTATTCTTAATGCTGTTTGGTGCCTGTGGTGCCTGTCTGCCTGGTGTGAGGCAAGGGGCTCATTACCATCAGAGCCGCAAATACCCGTTGTCAACTCAGGGTATATGTATCTTCCTCACTCAACCAAATTACCATTAGGTTAAACCATTTGAAATCCCTTTTCTTATAGGTCAAAAAGAGCCCAATATTGGCAATTTCATATGAGTTAACCTAATAGTAAAGTTTGGACATTTTTCCTCCTAACCCCCTCCCCAAGAAAAAAACTTTATATTCTACTAAACTTTCTCCGTCCAGCATCTCGGAATTCTCTTTAGTCTTCTCAGGCTACATTTCCCTGCTCTTGTTACATGTTTTTTCACATGTATTATTGTTCCCTACAAGATTAAGTTGTTTCAAGGGCAAGAACTATATCCTGTACCTCTTTGTACATGAACAAACATGAAGTACATGAACTACATGTACTAAAAAGTATATCAACTACAAAATCCAAACACAGTGGTTTTTCCCCATCCTTTCCACATTAAAAATGCCGACTCCTCTTCCACTATAGTGGCCTCAACCGTCTTGTCACCAACAGGTTACCTTGTATAGGGACAGTGGGGATTAAAAAAGAGACAAAGGCATTTTAACATCATAATCTTGACTTGATTTTACTTGGCCCCTAAGTTCCTCATTACATACAGACTCTTTCAAAGGCTGTCCTCATGTATGTACAATGATTTAAGTCACAGCCCAGCCATCTCCACCACCATCTCTCCTCCATCAAAAACACAGGCCTGAGATAATGGGGGGGCTGCCTCATGGGATCACACTTAACCTAAAGAACCAACTTTTGAACTTCAAATAGTGGCATAACGAATATGAGGATATAAATCTTAACTTTTAAGTTAACAATCAGTGTATTTTAATTGGCCCAGACTGTTTGCTATTGTAGTACAGAAACGTACAGCTCGGCCTGAGACTGACTGCCCTACCTTCCGAGATTCTCCTTATCCCCCTTTTTAACAGCTTCCCTTCTATCTAGAGCACCGCCCTTGCTCAGTTAGTTACATAAATGCTAGAATGTTCAAAGGTACAGAGCTGAGCTTTTCCTCCTACATTGTCACAAATTGAAGTGAAGCACCAGTCATCTCCTGAAGTTAATTTTCAGAAGAGGCTATTACAGAATTGCTGCCTTAGAATGTCCTGTTTACAGCCTCTTGAAATAGTAGAATAAGTTTACTTGATAGTACATTTTCTTATTTCTGTTAACTTTCTGTCTTTTTTGTTTATTTAAAGGCTGCAGTGAAGTTTGTTTCTGGCAAGAAGTCAATGGTAGCAAGTGGAAATTTGGGGCATACACCTTTTGTTGATGAGTTGTAATACTGAAGTATGTAATACATGAGAGAGCTGAACATTTTCTCCACCCAGAGCAGCAAACACATGAAAGTCAAAAGTCTCTAATATAACATTCATCTTTTTTTTTTTTTTTTGTCAGTGAGGTGAAATATCTTAAAGTGTAAATGTGGGTAATTATTCCCAGCTGACCGAAAATAAATAAAACATTCTATTTAAGTGCTTTTCTCATGTTTTTCCCAATCAGTTAATCAACATATGCTGAGGTCTTTGTGTTTAGATCCTGTAAAGGAGACAGAATATACTAGATTGAGTACAGAAGCATCAGGAATTATTAAAATTAAGGCTAAGTGACTATCAGAATAAATATTTCCAGGTTATTATTGATGGCTTTTTAAGATAAAAGCAGCTGCACACATTTGTAATTTTGGGTACAAAGAACACCCACTGCTGTCGAGTCAATTCCAACTCGTAGTGACCCTATAGGAGAGAGTAGAACTGCCCCATAGGGTTTCTAAGGCTGTAAGCTTTACTGAAGCAGACTGCCACATCTTTCTCCTGTGGAGCAACTAATGGATTCGAACCACCACTTGGTTTGCAGCCAAGCATTGTTAACCACTGTGCCACTAGGGGTCCTTAATTTTTTTTTTTTTTTTTTTTGAGGTGGGTGTGCGGTAGGGACAGTTAAATAGTCTGGGCCTTACCCCATTTTTTCCAATAGAATCATCTGTAAAAATGTTTTTAAATTCTCTATCAATCATATCCTGTATTTCTAGTGCTTCACTTTATGTCTGAGTTTTCTTCACTATGGCAGAGTTTTTTTTTTTTTCTCTCATCTTTTATCCATCCCTCATCTGTTTCTATCCACTCTCTTTTAAGTAATTAACTATCATCCCAACATTCAAAGTAAAAGTAGGCTTAAAAGTGAAGGGAAAAAAAAAGGTCTAATGTGAACAACTAGCTGAAAAAAATCTGCATCATTTCTTAATTAGGGCACTTGAATCTTAAAAAAAGATGTAAATATCTAAAGAAAAATGTACTTACTTTAAAAAGTGAGGTTCTCTGCTATGTTCAGACCTTCTGATGTTGGGTTCCTCTGCTACGTTTTCTAAAAGATGAGACATTCTTCCCAGAACAGAGGGTCTTGATGGTCTGAATGATGTTGCTGTTTTGAGTTGAAGGATGTCTCTGTAAGCTTTACAATGCAGTCATAAAAGAGAATTGGTAAGTCTGGATGTATTCCTGTAGGTATAGCAGCTTGTACGTGGTGATGCGCAGAAATTGGGTGCTTCAAAGAGAACTGCTCCTATGGTCATAGATTTGCCAACCATTGCCTAAGAGTTTGGCCCTTGCCCTCTTCAGTTCCGGCAGTCTTCCAGCCAAAATGCATCTGAGGTCGAGGAGGCCGAGGAAGAGGAGGATCTTTCATTGTCTTGCTTCACCATTGTCCAGTATGGAGAAGGGGCTCTCACATCCTTCTTGTGATCTCTGTGAATCATCACGTCAGAGTTAATGTCTTTTCCTACACTAATAGTATGGTTCTTCTTTTTATGTCCATGCCATTCTCTGGAGATGGACATTGGTCTCCTTGCAGGGTAATGCCCTGTTGGCCGTGGATATCTGTGATACGTAAGTCTGTTATCTACAACGACATCTTCATTGTCATCACTACTCACGAAAGCTACATCTTTTGCCTGCTCAGTTTTCTTTGATGTGCTGAAATGAAAAAAATAGTGAATGAAATAGATTCTTATTGTAGGAACATTTAACAAGATGCTTTATACCCTGCTTTTGCTCACAAAAGAGAGAATACAGTTTAACATCAATACAACCTTTTGAGTTTTTTTAAAAATACCTTTAATTTTTTTTCATTGTTAAACTTAAATAAAATTCTGGCTTAAATTATTTCACACTACTTTAAAAAGCCAGAATACCGACAGGGATATTTAAACAAAAAAAAAACCATTGCCGTCAAGTCAATTCCGACTTACAGCAACCCTATAGGACAAAGTAGTATTGCCCCATAGGATTTCCTAGGCTGAAATCTACGGGAGCAGACTGCTACATCCTTCTACCGAGGAGCACCTGGTGGGTTCAAACCTCTAACCTTTCAGTTAGCAGCCAAGCGCTTAACCACTGTGCCACCAGGGCTCCTTTGACAGGGATATTACCACGCTCTCAAGGGTGGGTTAATTTCATTGCACCTAGAAATGACAGGTTCAACACGGCCACCTTCTCCTTAGAACGCTTCTCGCAGGTCACATGGGGTCAGCAATCAGAGAAGATTACTGATCTCTCCAGGGGAGTAACATACACATCAGTCTTTGCCTTTTTCTGAGTATAGAGATGTAGATTTGTAGAGCACCCTTCTACCCAGATCTCGTCATTCACTTTTCTACCTCTGTTGCCAACCAAAAGCTTGTAAAGTTTCTTGTAACTTGCCCTAGCTGTTGGCTTTCATGACTGTTGAAACTTGGGTGATGCCTGCAATCCAGGCCACTGCACTTTTTTAATGCCTGCAGTATCTGTACCTGCTACTATTTTCCTGAACAAATGCTATCTGTCACCTACTCCCCCTCATCCTGGTGCTGTTTCCCAGCTGATCCAAAACTAGATCTTTGTGATTATGAACACGGTTCATTCTGTTCTGCTAAAAGGAACAGGAAATAGATTTCTTCCTCTCTGACCTGTCAGACTTACTACGGTTATCACAAAAATCCTTGGAGATCTGTCTATTTATGTGTTCCCAAGAATTTCAACAGCTTTTCCTAAAGTTTCTCTCTTCTGGTAACATAACTATTGGTATTGTCTTACTGAAAACTACTAGTTTTAAATTTTGTGATTTTCTTTGATCTTTGATTGAGTACCTTGCAGGGAGATTCATAAGATCTCCTGAACTAATTGCTTTCAGACACATCCAGGCCCTCCTGAATAGCATGTGACTACAAGCAACATCCTTTGTAACTGTGTTGTTGCTAGGTGCCATGGAGTCGACTTTCGACTCATAGCGACCCCATGTGACAGAGTAGAACTGCCCCATAGAGTTTTCTAGACTGTAACCTTTACGCAGGAGCAGATCACTAGGTCTTTTCTCCAGTGGAGCCGATGGGTGGGTTCAAACCTTTCATTTAGCAGCTAAGTGCTTAACCATTGCACCCCCAGGGCTCTTTAAGTCTGTATTAGGTAACTGCAAAGGACAGATGATAGATCCGGGCTCTTGTTAAGCTGGCCAGATCAAAAAACCAAACCCAGTGCCGTCGAGCCTATTCCAACTCATAGCAACGCTGTAGGACAGAGTAGAACTGCCCCATGGGGTTTTCAAGGAGCCGCTGATGGATTCCAACTGCTGACCTTTTGGTTAGCAGCTGAGCTCTTAACCACTGTGCCACCAGGGCCCCTATTAAGCTGGGATTAGATAATAAAGACACAATCCCCTTGCAAGAGGTCAGAGCTGACTGGAAATAGTTTTTATTCCCCTCCACTTGTCCACAGCATTATGTGGAACATTGTTTCCAATGGGCACGGTGCCATCTGCCCTTGAAAAAAACATACCAACCTTGTGAAAGAAGGCGTTTTCCTTTCCCGTCTGCCCTTTTCCTGCCGTCTTCCACATAAGTTTCTAAAATGCCCTAGATATAATTGCTTAATTAAGGGATTCAGAAAGTGCCTGGTTATTTTTCCTTAATCTCATGGGTTTTGGCCCCATACTTAAGTTGTGCTGTTCTGTTTATCTCTTCTTTGCTTTCGAAAGGTCACTTTTCTCCTTAGATTTTAATATTCTGAATCTCAAACTCTTCTGGTTTGTGTAATTAAAAGGTTTAAAATGTGGTTGTTCTACAAGCAAATGGATAAGAGCTCAGACTCCAGAGCTGCACTGTCCAATACGGGAGCCACCAGCTAAGTATGGCTGTTTAACTGTAAACTAATTAAAATTGAATAAAATTAAAAATTCAGTTCCTCAATTGCAGTCCCCATATTTCAAGTGCTTAATAGCCTCACAGAGCCCTGGTGGCACAGTGATAAAGAGCTCGGCTGCTAACCAAAAGGCCAGCAGTTCAAATCCACCAGCCGCTCTTTGGAAACCCTATGGGGCAGTTCTACCCTGTCCTATAGGGTTGCTATGAGTTGGAATTGACTTGAGGGAAATGGGTGTGATTTGGTTTTTTTAATAGCCATGTGTGACTAATGGTTACCCTATGGGACAATGCAGATCCAGACCACTTCTACCATTGTAGAAAGTTCTTACTGGATAGAGCTGCCCTAGAGACAGCTGTGCCACAGAGCCCTGAGACCACTGGCAAATTCACACACATCTCTCTGGGCCTCAGTTTTCTTATCTGCAAAATAAATAACAATACCTATTTTTTAAAAAGAGTCAGTATGAGGATTAAATGGTATAATGTTTTTCAAGTCATCAACACATAGTAAACACTGAGTAAGTGTTCACTATTACTGATTTTGAGCCCTGGTGGTGCAATGGTTGAAGTGCTCAGCTGCTAACCAGAAGGTTGGGGGTTTGAACCCACCATCAGTTCTGCAAGAGAAGACCTGGAATCTGCTCCCGTAAAGATGACAGCCGAGGAAACCCTATGGGGCAGTTCACTGTGTCCTATAAGGTCGCTATAAGTCGGGATCAACTCAGTGGAACCCAAAAGTTATTACTGATTTTAATCAAAATCAGGATTGGTTAATTGCTAGGGGAAAAAGTGTTCCCCAGCCCCTCCTATAATGTGAAGTACCACCATGCTGAGCTGTTAAGAGGAGTTTGGTGTTTAAGGGTCTGGGGCTAGGCCTGTAATGTGAGCGAGCATGTGCCTGATTTGAAGGGGACAGCTACCGCCCACTCCAGCCCAGTGTCACTGCGTGAGAATGCAGGCCCACTTTCTGACTTTCCAGGAGAAACCAGAGATCTGAATTCTTTCTGTGAAATCTTAGGTTTGTGAATTTGACAATCAAATCAAAGATTTTCACTTTTCATATTTTGAAACATAAAACCAAAAAACTCATTGCTGTTGAGTCGATTCTGACTCATAGCTACCCTATAGTGTAGAGTAGAGCTGTCCCATAGGGTTTCCAAAGATCAGCTGGTGCATTTGAACTGCTGACCTTTTGGTTAGCAGCTGAACACTTAACCGCTGGGCCACCAGGGCTCCATGAAATATATAGAAGAGTGCAAAAAGCATACAATTTAATGAAAAAATTATTTTTTAAAAAAAATTCTGAATACCTTGATAGCCCCCACCTGGATCAAGAAATAGACTATTACTGGCCCCGGGAGAAGCCGCTCATGTGCCTTCCTTTCTACAGGCGACCACTGTTCTGACTTTAAAACATTGTGGGAAACAAGCAGAGCAAGTCTGTGGGCTATATTAGTCCCCTGAGTCACAAGTTGGAAATTGTGAAGTACAGTGTATGTCATATGGGCCATTTTCAGTTCTTAATACTAAGTCGCTAGCCCGCTGCAATAAGTAAAGGTGCACAGCTGCAGCAACTAGTGCTCAGGAATGCTGACAACTATGAAGGGCCACTCTTGCATCAGAGCACTGAATTTGTTGCTAGAAGAAAAGGATTTCATGTTTATATGGTACTCTAGGAACACTTCCTCACCTATCTGATCCTCAGAAGAGTCCCTGTTACTCCTGTGCTTCAGATAAACTGTTCTCAGGGATTATCTATCTAAGTGATTTGCCTGAGATTCAAAGCTAGATTTCAGTTTTTACTCACTCCTTCAGTACATGAGCCCTTCACCACATGGAAGTCCTGTGGGAGTTGAGCAGAACAAGACAGACTCAGCCCCTGCCTTCATAGAGTTTACATTCCATCAGGGAAACATGGTAAACAATTGACTACACAGGTTATTTAATTAAAATTGGGATAAATACTGTGAAGGAGATCCAGAGGGTGCTCTGAGAACACATGACGAGTGGATTTGACTGTTAACACTCCCCTTAGGAGGGCTTCTTGAACAAAGTTTGCCTTGTGAGCCTTTAAAAGATGAGTAATAATGCACTTGGGACAGGAAGAACAGCATCCAAAGCATGTACCAGACAGAGAAGAGCAAGTATAAAGGCCCCAAGGCTAGGACAAACACAACAAGGCAGAAGAGCTGAAAGAGTGGGCTATAACATGGTGGGGGGGGGGGGCAGCGGGAAGCAGCATGAGCCTGGAGTGGTACCCAGAGGCCAGCCAATCCATGGAAAGCCTTATAGGCCAACATAAGGATTTTGGCATTTATCCTTACAACAAAAGGTTTTATAAAATTTTAAGCAGGAACATGTCATGATCAGATTTGTACTATAAAAGGGTCATTCTGGGTAGAGAACAAATAGATGCAGACCAAATGGTGGCTTTGGGTGACAGTAGTGGCCAAGGGAGAAGTGGACAGATTTAAGAGACATTTAGAAGGTAAAATGACAAGTCTTAGCAATTGTTGGCATTTTACGTTCTAAATCTCTCTCAGATCTGTCCACTTTTCCCCTTGGCCACTATCATCATCCCTGTCAAAGCCACCATTTGGTCTACATCTACTCTATTTGTTCTCTACCCAGAATGACCCTTCTATAGTACAAATCTGATCATGACATGTTTCTGCTTAAAATTTTATAAATTTTTAAATTTTTTTTAATACAAATTTCCAGATAAATTGT